GTGGGCAGCTGTTCTTCTCTAATGTAAGTGTTTGAGGGAGAGACCTTGTGCATGTTCCATTGGCATATCTCCGGTCACCGCCGCGGTCCCCGGTCACCGCCGCAGTCTCCGGTCAGCTGTGAGACGCCTCCTTCTCGCTGAGGGTCCAAGCGTCTGCGATCCTCCAAACTTGTTCATGTCTGTGTTTCTTTCACCACTTTGGGGCATTGAGCGTGGAGCACAGAGGCTTCTGTCCGGGCTTCATGGCTGTACATAGTTCTTAGCAGATCCACATGACGGCTGACTATGGCCAAAGTAGAACCATATTTCTATTAAAAACAAAAAACCATGAGGAAAAACGGAAAGGAACGGGCAGTGCACACATCTCATTATGTAAAGGAAAGAATTCTGTGAGTTTGGGTGTGATTCGTGAAGACAAAGTCAGATGGGACCGAGGTTTTGCACGCCGCCGCCGCCGCTCTGCGACATCAGACATGAGAGAAATAAAAAACGTGGATTTGGTCTAAAGAGGTTTCAGTTTTTCTTCATTTCAAGGTGATTTGTCTGTGCTCGTCTCTGGCCTTCAGTGGCTTTGACTGTTTTAGAAATTCTACTTCTGTGAAGATGTAGTCTTTAAAAGTCTGATAAAGATTATCCATGTCCTGTCAAAGGTTTTTATTTTGACATGGCCCTTGTCTGACTTGGCTCGGACAATCTGAAGACACCATTAATAAAAACAACTCATGGTCAATACTTTTGGCTTAGATTGAAGAAGGGCCTGAAACTGACTTCACTCCATTTTATGAAAGTGTTTTTATGTTTCTCATGCGACGTCGTCCCTCGGCCTCAGGTTCAGAGAAGGACAGAGGTGTGAAGACAACATGGAAACAAATAATCTATGCAAATGTTGCTGGAAGTGTGTGAGGGGAGGAGGGGTGAGGAGGGGGAGGCGGCGTGCAAACCCCAACGACCCCGACGTGTGGGCTTTTTATACTCTTTCATATCCGACTGTCCTGAAACTGCGATGCCTTCTGTCTAATAAACGATAGTTTCACAAATCAAACTGAAAAAGGCCTCGTGTGTCGTGTTTGAAAATGACTGAGTTCACTTTAAAGATGTTTTTCAGACTCGGACAAACCAAGATGAAGTTTTACTCTTGATGCTTGACTCCCAGAGACGCCATTTTGAGAAATTCCCCCAAAAAGGATTTTTGTTTATCACCAGATTTATCATTTATTTACCTCCACTCTGTCTGGATAACTGCTGAATAACTGAAATAAACAGAACTCTGAGAGGCTTCATGCAGATGAAGTGTGTTGCTATGGTAACCAGCTCCTCTGGTGGAAACAGAACCAGACTTAAACGGGCTCCAGCTGCCACAGAACGTTGGAGCCGGGTCACATCGCAGAAACTTTCAGGGAGACATTTTTAAATCTCAAAGTTCCTGAGACACAAATGAACATGACTTTCACTGCTCTGGGAGTTGGTGTTAAATGAGCTCAGGGTCACAGCACGTTTCATATTAGGCAGAATATTCCATTTACAAGGAGCGTATCAGACGAGAATACGCTATTCAGATCCTTCTGAGTGGGCTCGCCTCTCCACAGACCTGATCCAGTTTGTGGAAGATTGTGACCCACAGACTCTCCAACTGTGGAAGTTACTGAATAGATCAGTTTCAGGGTGAGGGCCTCTGTACGGTGAGGGGCCTCTGTACGGTGAGGGGCCTCTGTACGGTGAGGGCCTCTGTACGGTGAGGGGCCTCTGTACGGTGAGGGAGCTCCACACGGTGAGGGCCTCTGTACGGTGAGGGGCCTCTGTACGGTGAGGGCCTCTGTACGGTGAGGGGCCTCTGTACGGTGAGGGCCTCTGTACGGTGAGGGGCCTCTGTACGGTGAGGGAGCTCCACACGGTGAGGGCCTCTGTACGGTGAGGGCCTCTGTACGGTGAGGGAGCTCCACAGGGTGAGGGCCTCTGTACGGTGAGGGCCTCTGTACGATGAGGGGCCTCTGTACGGTGAGGGAGCTCCACACGGTGAGGGCCTCTGTACGATGAGGGGCCTCTGTACGGTGAGGGAACGGTGAGGGCCTCTGTACGATGAGGGGCCTCTGTACGGTGAGGGAACGGTGAGGGCCTCTGTACCGTGAGGGGCCTCTGTACGGTGAGGGAACGGTGAGGGCCTCTGTACCGTGAGGGGCCTCTGTACGGTGAGGGAGCTCCACACGATGAGGGGCCTCTGTACAATGAGAGGTTCGGGAAAACATGAAAAATGATTCAACATCCATTAGTTGTGAATGAATGAATTTCTTTATAAAAACATTAAAAAGAAATTTTAATGTTTTCCATTTGTATTAAATAATACAAATGGAAAAGTCTGGAACCAGAACTAAAACATGTGAAGCACCAATGATAAACTTTTGAACACACTTCACACAGAACGTCTTTGTGAGGACTTCAATGTCTCGTGGTCCCTTTATGGTCCCTTTATGGTCCCTTTATGGTCTCCTCATGGTCTCCATAAGTCCAAGTGAAACACACTGTACATTTGACACATGTCTTCTGGAGTGGACGAGCCGCTGTGCATGTCCCAGGGAGAGGACGCTAGTCTGGGGGGGGGGGGGGGGGGGGAGGTGGAGGGAGAGGAGGGAGAGGTGCGGGACAGGGTTAGGGACAGGTGGGAGAGGAGGGAGAGGTGCGGGACAGGGTTAGGGACAGGTGGGAGAGGAGGGAGAGGTGCGGGACAGGGTTAGGGACAGGTGGGAGAGGAGGGAGAGGTGCGGGACAGGGTTAGGGACAGGTGGGAGAGGAGGGAGAGGTGCGGGACAGGGTTAGGGACAGGTGGGAGAGGAGGGGGAGGTGCGGGACAGGGTTAGGGACAGGTGGGAGAGGAGGGAGAGGTGCGGGACAGGGTTAGGGACAGGTGGGAGAGGAGGGAAAGGTGCGGGACAGGGTTAGGGACAGGTGGGAGAGGAGGGAGAGGTGCGGGACAGGGTTAGGGACAGGTGGGAGAGGAGGGGGAGGTGCGGGACAGGGTTAGGGACAGGTGGGAGAGGAGGGAGAGGTGCGGGACAGGGTTAGGGACAGGTGGGAGAGGAGGGAGAGGTGCGGGACAGGGTTAGGGACAGGTGGGAGAGGAGGGGGAGGTGCGGGACAGGGTTAGGGACAGGTGGGAGAGGAGGGGGAGGTGCGGGACAGGGTTAGGGACAGGTGGGAGAGGAGGGGGAGGTGCGGGACAGGGTTAGGGACAGGTGGGAGAGGAGGGAGAGGTGCGGGACAGGGTTAGGGACAGGTGGGAGAGGAGGGGGAGGTGCGGGACAGGGTTAGGGACAGGTGGGAGAGGAGGGGGAGGTGCGGGACAGGGTTAGGGACAGGTGGGAGAGGAGGGAGAGGTGCGGGACAGGGTTAGGGACAGGTGGGAGAGGAGGGAGAGGTGCGGGACAGGGTTAGGGACAGGTGGGAGAGGAGGGAGAGGTGCGGGACAGGGTTAGGGACAGGTGGGAGAGGAGGGAGAGGTGCGGGACAGGGTTAGGGACAGGTGGGAGAGGAGGGAGAGGTGCGGGACAGGGTTAGGGACAGGTGGGAGAGGAGGGAGAGGTGCGGGACAGGGTTAGGGACAGGTGGGAGAGGAGGGGGAGGTGCGGGACAGGGTTAGGGACAGGTGGGAGAGGAGGGAGAGGTGCGGGACAGGGTTAGGGACAGGTGGGAGAGGAGGGGGAGGTGCGGGACAGGGTTAGGGACAGGTGGGAGAGGAGGGGGAGGTGCGGGACAGGGTTAGGGACAGGTGGGAGAGGAGGGGGAGGTGCGGGACAGGGTTAGGGACAGGTGGGAGAGGAGGGGGAGGTGCGGGAGAGGAGGGAGAGGTGCGGGACAGGGTTAGGGACAGGTGGGAGAGGAGGGGGAGGTGCGGGACAGGGTTAGGGACAGGTGGGAGAGGAGGGGGAGGTGCGGGACAGGGTTAGGGACAGGTGGGAGAGGAGGGAGAGGTGCGGGACAGGGTTAGGCAGAAGAGGGGGACAGGGTGAAGGTGAGCAGTGCATGCGTAAGGCACAGTGGTGTCAGTGCAGGGGGCGGGGCGTCTCATGTTTTAGAGCAGATGGTTTTCTGCAGCAGCGGCATCTGTGGAAACAACAGCATCAGGTCAGAGTCACTGCAGACTCACCAACGCAGAGGCAGACCAACGCAAGTCGACAAACGCAAGACAACGACTCTGATTGTGTGTCCGTGTTCTGACTGATATGTTCTGATTGTGTGTCCGTGTTATGACTGATATGTTCTGATTGTGTGTCCGTGTTCTGACTGATATGTTCTGATTGTGTGTCCGTGTTCTGACTGATATGTTCTGATTGTGTGTCCGTGTTCTGACTGATATGTTCTGATTGTGTGTCCGTGTTCTGACTGATATGTTCTGATTGTGTGTCCGTGTTATGACTGATATGTTCTGATTGTGTGTCCGTGTTATGACTGATATGTTCTGATTGTGTGTCCGTGTCCTGACTGATATGTTCTGATTGTGTGTCCGTGTTCTGACTGATATGTTCTGATTGTGTGTCCGTGTTCTGACTGATATGTTCTGATTGTGTGTCCGTGTTCTGACTGATATGTTCTGATTGTGTGTCCGTGTTCTGACTGATATGTTCTGATTGTGTGTCCGTGTTCTGACTGATATGTTCTGATTTGTGTGTCCGTGTTCTGACTGATATGTTCTGATTGTGTGTCCGTGTTCTGACTGATATGTTCTGATTGTGTGTCCGTGTTCTGACTGATATGTTCTGATTGTGTGTCCGTGTTCTGACTGATATGTTCTGATTGTGTGTCCGTGTTCTGACTGATATGTTCTGATTGTGTGTCCGTGTTATGTCTGATATGTTCTGATTGTGTGTCCGTGTTATGACTGATATGTTCTGATTGTGTGTCCATGTTCTGACTGATATGTTCTGATTGTGTGTCCGTGTTATGACTGATATGTTCTGATTGTGTGTCCGTGTTCTGACTGATATGTTCTGATTGTGTGTCCGTGTTCTGACTGATATGTTCTGATTGTGTGTCCGTGTTCTGACTGATATGTTCTGATTGTGTGTCCGTGTTCTGACTGATATGTTCTGATTGTGTGTCCGTGTTCTGACTGATATGTTCTGATTGTGTGTCCGTGTTCTGACTGATATGTTCTGATTGTGTGTCCGTGTTCTGACTGATATGTTCTGATTGTGTGTCCGTGTTCTGACTGATATGTTCTGATTGTGTGTCCTGTGTTCTGACTGATATGTTCTGATTGTGTGTCCGTGTTCTGACTGATATGTTCTGATTGTGTGTCCGTGTTCTGACTGATATGTTCTGATTGTGTGTCGTGTTTGACTGATATGTTCTGATTGTGTGTCCGTGTTCTGACTGATATGTTCTGATTGTGTGTCCTGTTCTGACTGATATGTTCTGATTGTGTGTCCTGTTCTGACTGATATGTTCTGATTGTGTGTCCGTGTTCTGACTGATATGTTCTGATTGTGTGTCCTGTGTTCTGACTGATATGTTCTGATTGTGTGTCCGTGTTCTGACTGATATGTTCTGATTGTGTGTCCGTGTTCTGACTGATATGTTCTGATTGTGTGTCTGTGTTCTGACTGAGATGTTCTGATTGTGTGTCTGTGTTCTGACTGATATGTTCTGATTGTGTGTCCGTGTTCTGATTGTGTGTCCGTGTTCTGATTGTGTGTCCGTGTTCTGACTGATATGTTCTGATTGTGTGTCCGTGTTCTGACTGATATGTTCTGATTGTGTGTCCGTGTTTGCTGATATGTTCTGATTGTGTGTCCGTGTTATGACTGATATGTTCTGATTGTGTGTCCGTGTTCTGACTGATATGTTCTGATTGTGTGTCCGTGTTCTGACTGATATGTTCTGATTGTGTGTCCGTGTTCTGACTGATATGTTCTGATTGTGTGTCCGTGTTCTGACTGATATGTTCTGATTGTGTGTCCGTGTTCTGACTGATATGTTCTGATTGTGTGTCCGTGTTCTGACTGATATGTTCTGATTGTGTGTCCGTGTTCTGACTGATATGTTCTGATTGTGTGTCCGTGTTCTGACTGATATGTTCTGATTGTGTGTCCGTGTTCTGACTGATATGTTCTGATTGTGTGTCCGTGTTCTGACTGATATGTTCTGATTGTGTGTCTGTGTTATGACTGATATGTTCTGATTGTGTGTCCGTGTTCTGACTGATATGTTCTGATTGTGTGTCCGTGTTCTGACTGATATGTTCTGATTGTGTGTCTGTGTTATGACTGATATGTTCTGATTGTGTGTCCGTGTTCTGACTGATATGTTCTGATTGTGTGTCCGTGTTCTGACTGATATGTTCTGATTGTGTGTCCATGTTCTGACTGATATGTTCTGATTGTGTGTCCTTGTTCTGACTGATATGTTCTGATTGTGTGTCTATGTTATGACTGATATGTTCTGATTGTGTGTCCGTGTTCTGACTGATATGTTCTGATTGTGTGTCCGTGTTATGACTGATATGTTCTGATTGTGTGTCCGTGTTATGACTGATATGTTCTGATTGTGTGTCCGTGTTCTGACTGATATGTTCTGATTGTGTGTCCGTGTTATGACTGATATGTTCTGATTGTGTGTCCGTGTTCTGACTGATATGTTCTGATTGTGTGTCCGTGTTATGACTGATATGTTCTGATTGTGTGTCCGTGTTCTGACTGATATGTTCTGATTGTGTGTCCGTGTTCTGACTGATATGTTCTGATTGTGTGTCCATGTTCTGACTGATATGTTCTGATTGTGTGTCCTTGTTCTGACTGATATGTTCTGATTGTGTGTCTATGTTATGACTGATATGTTCTGATTGTGTGTCCGTGTTATGACTGATATGTTCTGATTGTGTGTCCGTGTTATGACTGATATGTTCTGATTGTGTGTCCGTGTTATGACTGATATGTTCTGATTGTGTGTCCGTGTTATGACTGATATGTTCTGATTGTGTGTCCGTGTTCTGACTGATATGTTCTGATTGTGTGTCCATGTTCTGACTGATATGTTCTGATTGTGTGTCCATGTTCTGACTGATATGTTCTGATTGTGTGTCTATGTTATGACTGATATGTTCTGATTGTGTGTCTATGTTATGACTGATATGTTCTGATTGTGTGTCTATGTTATGACTGATATGTTCTGATTGTGTGTCCGTGTTCTGACTGATATGTTCTGATTGTGTGTCCGTGTTCTGACTGATATGTTCTGATTGTGTGTCCATGTTCTGACTGATATGTTCTGATTGTGTGTCCATGTTCTGACTGATATGTTCTGATTGTGTGTCCTTGTTCTGACTGATATGTTCTGATTGTGTGTCTATGTTATGACTGATATGTTCTGATTGTGTGTCCGTGTTCTGACTGATATGTTCTGATTGTGTGTCCGTGTTCTGACTGATATGTTCTGATTGTGTGTCCGTGTTATGACTGATATGTTCTGATTGTGTGTCCGTGTTCTGACTGATATGTTCTGATTGTGTGTCCGTGTTATGACTGATATGTTCTGATTGTGTGTCCGTGTTCTGACTGATATGTTCTGATTGTGTGTCCGTGTTATGACTGATATGTTCTGATTGTGTGTCCGTGTTCTGACTGATATGTTCTGATTGTGTGTCCATGTTCTGACTGATATGTTCTGATTGTGTGTCCATGTTCTGACTGATATGTTCTGATTGTGTGTCCTTGTTCTGACTGATATGTTCTGATTGTGTGTCCATGTTCTGACTGATATGTTCTGATTGTGTGTCCATGTTCTGACTGATATGTTCTGATTGTGTGTCCTTGTTCTGACTGATATGTTCTGATTGTGTGTCTATGTTATGACTGATATGTTCTGATTGTGTGTCTATGTTATGACTGATATGTTCTGATTGTGTGTCCGTGTTATGACTGATATGTTCTGATTGTGTGTCCGAGTTATGACTGATATGTTCTGATTGTGTGTCCGTGTTATGACTGATATGTTCTGATTGTGTGTCCGTGTTATGACTGATATGTTCTGATTGTGTGTCTATGTTATGACTGATATGTTCTGATTGTGTGTCTATGTTATGACTGATATGTTCTGAGTGTGTCTTTCTGTGTGTGACTTCCAGAAGCTCTGGTGCCACGATCCGTCTCTCTGTGGTTCATCTACGACACTATCTTTAAAGTCAGGACCCTCAGCTTTAACCTTCCCCTGCTTCATGCTGCTTCATTCTGCTTCATGCTGCTTCAGGCTGCTTCAGGCTGCTTCAGGCTGCTTCATGCTGCTTCATGCTGCTTCAGGCTGCTTCATGCTGCTTCATGCTGCTTCATGCTGCTTCATGCTGCTTCATGCTGCTTCATGCTGCTTCATGCTGCTTCATGCTGCTTCAGGCTGCTTCATGCTGCTTCAGGCTGCTTCATGCTGCTTCATGCTGCTTCATGCTGCTTCATGCTGCTTCATGCTGCTTCATGCTGCTTCAGGCTGCTTCAGGCTGCTTCAGGCTGCTTCATGCTGCTTCATGCTGCTTCATGCTGCTTCATGCTGCTTCAGGCTGCTTCAGGCTGCTTCATGCTGCTTCATGCTGCTTCATGCTGCTTCATGCTGCTTCATGCTGCTTCATGCTGCTTCATGCTGCTTCATGCTGCTTCATGCTGCTTCAGGCTGCTTCATGCTGCTTCATGCTGCTTCATGCTGCTTCATGCTGCTTCAGGCTGCTTCAGGCTGCTTCAGGCTGCTTCATGCTGCTTCATGCTGCTTCATGCTGCTTCATGCTGCTTCATGCTGCTTCAAGCTGCTTCAAGCTGCTTCAGGCTGCTTCATGCTGCTTCAGGCTGCTTCAGGCTGCTTCAGGCTGCTTCATGCTGCTTCATGCTGCTTCAGGCTGCTTCATGCTGCTTCATGCTGCTTCATGCTGCTTCATGCTGCTTCAGGCTGCTTCAGGCTGCTTCAGGCTGCTTCATGCTGCTTCAGGCTGCTTCAGGCTGCTTCAGGCTGCTTCAGGCTGCTTCATGCTGCTTCAGGCTGCTTCAGGCTGCTTCATGCTGCTTCAGGCTGCTTCAGGCTGCTTCAGGCTGCTTCAGGCTGCTTCATGCTGCTTCATGCTGCTTCATGCTGCTTCAGGCTGCTTCATGCTGCTTCATGCTGCTTCAGGCTGCTTCATGCTGCTTCAGGCGCGTGTTTAAATGTGTTCATTCTTTGTTGCTTCTCTTTGAAGTAGAGTCTGAGTTCATTTTTCTAAAACCTCACAACACTACTGTAGTTTGGAGCAGTACCTTGGACAGGTCGACTCCTGTCAGAGCGGTCACCGCCACCGGCAGCTCGGCCATCAGCCGGCTCACCTCCGTGGTCACATGACTCTGTCCGCTCAGGATCACGATCTCCTGGGTCTTTGCCAGAGGAGACGCCACCTTCGAGGCGATCTGTGAAGAAGAGGTGGAGTTAGACACCGCCCACTGTCACTGTCCCCGCCCACTGTCCCCGCCCACTGTCCCTGTCCCCGCCCACTGTCCCTGTCCCCGCCCACTGTCCCCGCCCACTGTCACTGTCCCCGCCCACTGTCACTGTCCCCGCCCACTGTCCCCGCCCACTGTCCCCGCCCACTGTCACTGTCCCCGCCCACTGTCACTGTCCCCGCCCACTGTCCCCGCCCACTGTCACTGTCCCCGCCCACTGTCCCCGCCCACTGTCACTGTCCCCGCCCACTGTCACTGTCCCCGCCCACTGTCCCTGTCCCCGCCCACTGTCCCCGCCCACTGTCACTGTCCCCGCCCACTGTCACTGTCCCCGCCCACTGTCACTGTCCCCGCCACTGTCCCGCCCACTGTCCCCGCCCACCACTGTCCCCGCCCACTGTCACTGTCCCGCCCACTGTCCCCGCCCACTGTCACTGTCCCCGCCCACTGTCACTGTCCCCGCCCACTGTCACTGTCCCCGCCCACTGTCACTGTCCCCGCCACCCTGCCACTGTCCCCGCCCACTGTCACTGTCCCCGCCCACTGTCACTGTCCCCGCCCAC